CCCCCCTTGGTCACTGGAATGACCATTTGTAGAACGATTGCAGAAAATAAAGGAAGCATAGAATTCAAAAACTCTAAGAGCACTATTTGTAGTAAACTTCATGAGCTATCGACTAGTAAAAAGAAAAGATTTTTTTCGCTGTGCTAGTGTCGAGATATGCAACTTATAAAATCGATGATTTTCAAAAAAAGTAAAAAATGGAATTTTTTTGGTAAAATTCTTTTTCTACCGCTAGGCAATATATATCTTGGCGACGTGTTGCGTGATTTACATCAAAGAAGGTGTCCACTAGTAGATTATATAAGTTTCAAAAATTTGAAAAGCATTAGGTAGGCAAGATGTGGTAAAGCATCGAATGGTCACTGAAGAACTTCCAGAAAATCAACCCTTAGCTTTGGCCGTCTACAACCCGAAAATAAAGTTTTATTTAAACTACGTAAAATTATAGAGTGAACAATTCTCTACAAAATAAGACGTCCATGAGCTCTCTACGAGGGTTTTTGGCCGAACTCCGTCGGTATTATGGAAAGTTCACGAAATTTTTTCCAAATCAATCCCCCTACTCCCCCCTCAACAAACTACCCTAAAACTCAAGTGTGCATTTGATCGATCTGACCGTACTTTTAGCATATTGGAGGCACCAATACTCTATTCCAATGGCTGTTTCATCAATAGCTCTTCTGGAACCTCTATGGGGGGGGGGGGGGGGAAAGGGTTAAACAGAAGCTGAAACTCGTAAGTGTACAGGCGAAATTGACGTTAATTATATTGATATACTAATATTACAGGAAACCAATAATTCAGATAAATACGTCAGACAGATACAAAAAGAATAGAAATTTAGAAACTATGAGCAAGTCCTTCTAATTGTTGTAGTAACGTTCGCTATCTTGCGGATGAGGGCGTGAATGAGAGTGAGGGTGGGGACGAGAGTAGGCACATCCTCAAGATAGCGAACGTTACTACAACAATTAGAAGGACTTGCTCATAGTTTCTAAATTTCTATTCTTTTTGTATCTGTCTGACGTATTTGTCTGAATTATTGGTTACCTGTAATATTAGTATATCAATATAATAAACGTCAATGTCGCCTGTACACTTACGAGTTTCAGCTTCTGTTTAACAAAAAACTTTTGTGCTTTTATTACAAAATTTTCGACCATATTTCGTGTCGACCAATTTTCGTATCGCCCAATTTTCGCTTCGACCAATTTTCGTGTCGACCAATTTTCGTATCGCCCAATTATCGGCGACCAATTTTCGTTCGACCATTTTTCGTTCGACCAATTTTCGTAGACCCATGACAAACAAACTACACTAAACAAGAGAATAAACAATTCTATAAAATATTCTTCGATCATCAAATAAATAAGTAAGAGATTCTTTATCCGAGAAGAATATTTATGATGTAAACTCGCTCCTATGACTTCACATTTTTTTGTATATTATTTTATTAGGATAGTTTTTGAAATATAATTAAATAAAATCAAATAGATCGTTGTATGATTTTAATTATTAGAAAATCAAAAAACTTTGTTGAATATGTTTTCTTTTATCTTCATTTCTGATGCTTTAAAGTGAAATGCAATTTGATTATTGTATTAAAATCTATAGAGAGTTAACTATGAAATGTAATAAAATAGATTTTTAGAGTTGTGAATTAGTTTATAATAAACATAAATTTATTTATTGAAATATTTCAATAAAAATAAAATACAATATAATTAAACAAAAAGATCTTTCGATGTTGAACATGTATCTAGATGAAGATTTAATTCACAGAAATTTATTATTAGAATAAAAAAAAATTAATTGTTGAAAAAGAAATAATCTATTGAGCCTGTTCCCATTTTAAGCACATTTGTAAATCAAATTTGTGCATAATGTTGTAATCTTTTACTTACATGTGAAATAAAACTGAAAATACTTACTGTTATCTAATATTTACCTTCATAATTCTTATATCTTCCATATAGATTAAAAACATGTGCTCTCAGAAAATGTCATAGATTTGACTTACGGATATTAATATTCATCTCTTCGATACTCGGCTTCGTAGGCATACGTTGAAAACGTCGAAGATACACCAATGAGATTTCATATATTATTGTGTAATTCAATATAATCAACACAAACAAATATAATCTCAATATTGGTGGCCTTCGACATGTCCGATCGACCCAAAGCGTCGATATTAAGCGACGATAGCAGGGTTTCGTTATGATCGGAACACACCGGAAGCCGGGTTTCTAACTCAGACATAGAAAGTCCAAGTCAATTCGAAGTACGAATATCATTATTGCATAAGCAAATCTGACGCAATCGAGAGCACACGTTTCCAATCCGTCATTGTTTGGTTGTTAAGCCACTGGGTGTGTGCTTTTGTTGCACAACACGCAGTTAATGATCAAAATTGGAATGCAGAAAAAAGGCTGGCAAAACACGACTTTATATAGTTGACGATGTTATTGCACAATCATTTACCAACATAGAATAACGGGAAAAACAGAACAACAAAAACAAAATTACTATGTGTCACTTAATAATTGTGCAATTTATGTTTTTCTCTATTGTCATGTGCGTCTCATCTACGTTATTGACTCAATAGGCTGTAACAAATTTCTTCTTTTGATTAGAATATGATGAAAACAAAAATTATCATAGGCATATTTCAATAATAGAGTGAACAAAAAAATCCCATTGAATCTTTCAACTATCTAACAGCATCCGAAGGTTAAAATTCTGCCGTATCTGATTATTGGAAATCATTAGTATCTTTCAATTACTAACTATTTTATTTCGTATAATCGATTTTATCTTTTCGTTCAATTTAAAATATTTCCGTTTGACATTTACAATAGTTTTTCATTGTGTACTATCTATGTTGTTGTTCAATTTTATCAAAAAACCTTTTTGAAGAGAAGATTTGAGACAGATTGCTGCTATGTATAGTTATTGTCATCTTAAATTGAGTGCAGGTGTGGGAATGAGATTTAGATGATGAAGTGTTGGAACTTAGCTTTATTAATATAACAATATTTAACATTATTATATATAAATGAAAGTTCAAGATTAAAAATGAATGATGTATCATTAATATCAATTCTTCGTGCATAAACACTAGTCGTAGTTAAAAGACGGAATTCTCATCACGCACATTATTCAACAATTAATTTAGATGAAAGTAATCAAATAACTGAACGAAAGCCATAATGTATTCGATTTGTTTTAAGTAAATGCATTGCCGATGAAATTATTCAATGCATGATGAATACAAGTAAATCATCGATCTGTAGCATAATCACATTTATCAATAAAAATAATCATAAATAAATGAAAGTTCAAAATTAAATACTACTGATATACTATTGATATCAACTAGGAGCACGTTATTAAATAATTAATTCAAATAAAGGATGGGTGTGGGTATGACAATCAAAATACAGAGACATCCATTTTCACCTAAGACCCACGCACCAACACACCCTACGCTTATTTTATGCATTGTCACAAATATTTGACTCCACAATGTATTCATTAAGTATATGCATCCTACACAACGTCTTTTTTAACATTTCTGTGACAAAAAGTTCAAGTCTTTGCTTTGTTTAACGTGTCACATAAATTTTTCTGTGGAAGAAGCGTTGCATTTGTGCACGGCACGTTGATTGTCGAAATGAAAAAAAATATTTCATCAAAATGGTGTTGACTCATACAATAATGTAAACAAAGATGACGTTCGAACGATGGGAATTTTCAATTCAATGTTATTTTTGAGGACGTTGCCCGTGCAGGGACAGAAGAGGCATGATTCTCATTGGCTGGATTTTTCCTTTCAAAACTAATATTATTTAAACAGAATAAAAAAAACTAAGCTTTCACGTCTATATAAGGTGGAGAGGAACAACATTAGCTGCTCAGAATTCAAAATTGTGAAACTTTACCTTCAAAATAAGCATAAGTACCAATATCATCTATCCATTATAATGCGGTAAGATGGCAACATTGAAAACATGATACATTTAAATAAGAAATAAAAAAGACAGAATTTCCAATTCGAAGATCAACGAAACTAATCAGTTACAATTGTTCTTTTGCCACAATCTATTGAACGACCGCGTTGATGAAAAGAAAATCAATGATATGCCAACCTCTACTCTAGATAAATCTATGTCTAAAGTGGCTGTGGTTAATTCTTCAGCGAAAATAACGTCATCTAAGATGAAATTATCAACTCCTAAAATCGAATTTCGACGCCACAAAATGGTACGTATAGGATTGAGTTATTGAAGCCAGAACAGAGATATGAGCCAAACAAATGTTGTCTGTGCTAACGAAAGAATTTGTCTCATAATATACTTGTGATTTGCTGTAGGACTCCACGGGTATTGTAAGAGTAGATATGCTGACTTTAGATACCAAGAAGAATGGTCAGGTAAGTAGCATCTTTAGATTAAACTGAATGTTTGTGACATCAATAACAACACTCTCTCTAGTATGTGTTACCATCCTCTCGCCGTTGTAGTTTTCCTGCTCTATCATGGTTTACTAGTCGATGAGTACCCTTACGATCACTAAATAGTCGTTTCACCTTTGAAAAAGATCCAGTCAATATTGCTCGAAAAGAACTGACGTTTCGTAACATTAACGAAGCAAATGAACACTGGTATCAACTTAAACTTAGAGGGCATGGTAAATTCCGATTTTCTGGAAATTCAAATTTCTCAACATCTGAAAAGTGAAATGTCTATTTCTCAGGGTGAGGTGGACCGGGTTGGGTCAAGCCAATAAAGAATGTATATCTATAGATGAATATAAAATAGATGAGGGTGGGGTGTGGGTGTGGATGTGGATGTGTGGGTGTAGGCGGAAATCTTCTCTTCACCCACACCCGCCAAAACCTGAATATAGCAACATAATCACTACAGACAGATGCCACTGAAGAGATTATTATATTTTTATAACTTAGACAAAGAACATCAGAAGAATACAGAAAAGAGTTATTTGTGATCAGAAGATGCTTCAGCATAATGTATTTCCACAGAAATAGTAACACGTTTTTCTTCAACAATAAATTTTGGATGTCGAGGAATGATTTCCAGCCGTTTAGTTTCACACAAATCTGGTAATTTGAATGGATGTGAAAAGTTAATAAATCCATCGAGTGGAATATATGGCATATAAGTACTAATGTCTGCAGAACCACCACCATATCCAAATAGTTTCGGCAGTTCAACACGAAGCTTTTTTATTTTGAGCATAAGTTTTCCAGTATTTTCATCCAATATTAATTCACATTCGCCATGAACAGTTTGCTTAGTAATACGTGGAAGTCTCTCCATTGGACCAAAGACTTCTGCAAAAGCTTTAAATTGAAACATTGATGGAGATAAAACGGTTTCCATCTGAGAAACTTTTATGGTAAATCCGATGAGCTTAACTTGAATTGATTTCATCGCTCGAAATAATTCATTAAATGTACTTTGATGTACTGTAATCGAGATGTATTGACCTGAATGCTCATGCACAGGCGACACATCAAGTGCATCTAATACATCGCGAATAGATGAAAGTAATTGACGTTGTCCAAAGACATATTGAGTTGATGATGTCATAGGTTTTTCGGTGTGTTCATATTCAGTTGAATAAACAAAACAGTTCCGTATTGCACGTGGTAAGAAGTCAATACGTGACAGTTCATCTTTAAGATTTTGATATAAATGTCCAACAACGACTAGAATAGCGATAGTATTCGCACTGAGCTGTTCAATATAATGAAAAGCATTATCAAAAGACGCACATCGTTCAATATGATGTTGAGCACACTCTTTCTTCAGTGATTCCAAACATTCAGCCATTAATTTTTTGTTCCCATCTTTATCAATTACAACAATAAAAATGTTATGATCTACTTTCGCTGAAGTCATAAGTTCTGTCGATGCTTTCGAAAGCTCTTGTGTCTGCGCGAGTTTTTCTGAGGCTCCGCAAGCCATTATCTACAATAAGAATATCATTAAAGTGAGATCGAACCAATGTTTTATCGTTAAAAATTAAATCCGATTGTAGGTTTAGTTTAATGAGACAATTTTCTGGTATCAGTACCTATACTTGAGATAAATGTCAGCCAACAAAGCTTTACTTCGGTCAATGAAGAGTCGCTAAAAGTAATGATATATACAACATAGTTCGTTCACCATTTATATTACAATACTCGCGCAAAGTTCAATTCAAGTACAAAAAATGAGAAGGAACGAGATAAAATAACATATTTCGTGTTATTTCGTAACTATTTCGTGTCGTCAAGTAGACAAACTATTCTTTTTATTTCACGCATACATTTTTTTTTCTTCTCCACATACTTGTTGCTTTCCTGTCAACAGAATGGGACAAAAAACGTGCTTCTAAGTCACTCATTGACGAGCTTTACCTTCATGCAGACAAAGACGAAGAAATCATAAAATAATATTTGAATATTTTTAGTTTTTTAATCAAAATGGTGGCTTAGAGTGGAAAGAAATAATGAAAAAAAACATTGAATACTTCCGCAATATGTATGTATAAAGAGAGTATGTACAAAAAGAACAGTTAGCGTAATTAAGAAATTTATTACAGTAGATCGAAGTCATAATAGCAAATCTTCAGCAATAAAACAAAAAAATGTTGGTTGTAAACGAGTGGGATAGGTGGGTGAGGGTGAAGGTAACGAGAAGCGAACCATCCACACTCTCACCTCATCCTCAATAGATCTGTCTGCGGGCAAAAACTCAGCTCGAAATATTACCATTCGATTTTTTGGTATATAAAATGATTAGACGGTTGAAAACGTTCCCTTGTTAGTAAAAAGTTTTATGTTGGATTAACAATCCGATAAGTAAAAGAAATATATTCTCTTTACTTCTGAATCAAATGCATTTATTTAGAATTAGTTGGAGCCATTCTGAAAATCTCCTTGATTTATCTGATTATGTTTTCAAATAATTTCAGTTATTGGTTTTTATCAAGATTTTTTTCGAAGAGAATAATATACTAGTGTGGTAGGACGAGAAACAGTAAAGAGAATTTTAGCAAATAAATGAAAACAATTAGAATCAGAAGATGTAAATTTAATTTTTATTCTGATTAAATGATTCTTTTATCTACAATCATATTAGTTATATAAAGCATGTCTGCTGTCCCACTTGCTAAAGTTAACTTAGTTTTAGGTCTGTTTTTGATTATTAAGTTCAGCAGAAAAAATAGTATGTCAATCACAATCGAAAAAAGAAAAGTAAAATAAGAATTTATAATCATTTGTGATAATATGGATCATAACACATGCAAATATAAAAATACTTTCGATGAAATATGAAAACAATCATGTGATAAGTCAAACAAGATAAAATGACTCTTTCCATCGTTATTAGTGAAAATGATTCTACTGATGTAGTACAATTTGGTTCCATAGTTTCAATAAAATTCCAGCTGACCAAAGAAATAAGCAGTTATTGCGTACAATGGCGGAGGATGCTGCGAAGAATAGACCTATTATAAAAAGAATTCAATATAATTATATTGTACTAACTCTGTGTAACTACGTAAATACGGATGTTACTTCTATTTTTACTTTTGAAACTGTAAATGGACTTTCCTTTTTTTCAATAAGAAAGAAATTTTTTCAGTGTGGCTTAGAATAAGGAACTTTTTCGTTGTTATTTTGAAAGTGAAATTTCAACACTAGTTTTGTATGCTTGTCCATGAAAAAAGCCTCAAATAGGAAAAGTGACTTGCTTAGGATTGAATAGTCGACGAAGGCTATGATATGGTTCAAAGATGACTTTTAGTGCCCGTAGTATTACCTTGAATAGCGGCTATTGTCGTCAATGATTGTGGTGTGATCGTATTGCCTACATTGAATCCTTTTATCGAGATCGGTCGTACTATAGTTATATTTCCTGTTATTAGTGTCGTTGTTGTGCCATGTGCTGATGTGGTGGTGGTCATGTCTGAACTTGGACTTGCTATCATTGTAGAGGGAATTGGCGCATTGACACCATACAGTGCGGTATAGTTGTAATTCAAGCCAGCTATGCATGTACTCATGTCCACGTTACAGTAGTTAGTCGCGCAGAAACACACCAAGAGCATAGCAGCCTGATACGCTTCAGGATAAGGTGTAAAAAATAAGAAATTGGTGGCACTTTCATACACATAATATCCTTGCTGTGTGAAGTTTATCTGCTGCCACCTCGCCGGATAATAGAGCGTCAAATGCCATATATATTCTAGAACACTGTCGTAGTCTTCAGTGGCGAATGCATAGCGAAAATCGCCTCCGCTACCAGCATAAGCACAAACGACCGAATGCGTTGCATAATATGCATTGCACAAAGAGATGTTTACGGCTGCCCAGAAAAGCCCCTGATATATCCTCGCGGCCAAAATAAACGGAACACCTTATTTTTTCGATTCTTTACTCCCAGCAATTTGATTCGGGCTCATATTTATAACACAGATAAATGTTTGATTACTCGACTTATCCTGAAAGTTTCAGCCTTATAGAATGAAAACTTCCCGAGAAAATTAGAAATATATCTCATGTACTCATATCCTACTGAAACGAAATTTTTGTGTTTTATTTATTTTTCTGTCATTTTACATTCAATTTGAAATCTCAAGTGATGATTAGTTAACTTGTCTACTTGACTACAGAATGAAACATCTTTTGCGATCTTCATATGTCATACGGCTAGCTGTTAACGTATTTTCTTCATGAGTAATATGCTTGTTCCTGAGAACTCTGAAACCCATCGCAACACTTTTAACTGTCGTAAAATCGACCAAAATGGGGGTAATCCA